GAACTTCAGAGAAGGCATGCATTTATGAAATGGTGGGGCTGGGATATGAACTCAGGGCTGATTCCAGAACCTATTCTAATTCCAGGACATAATGCTGCCTCCAAAAACTTCTGTGTCCAAATGGGACAGGAAATCATAACTCTCCTTGGTCAGAATACAAGGCTAGAGCCTCTGATCTCCTCCTGTTCCCCCAGGTCTGTGAGATAGCAAGGGGGTGCTGGTGAGAGGCCAAATGAAACAGTGCTTGGAGAAGGCTAGCAGCCTGGAGAGCCAGAGTGGAATGGCCCCAATCCAGGTCATCTTCCAGGCTTCAGAGATAGTACCAGGAGAGACCTCCAGAGAAGAGTTGAGAGGGACAGAGCTGCCCCTCAGCTTCCTGGCATTGAGAGACCCAGGTAGTGCCCAGGCATTTATTTGAATGTGGGTCACCTGGCAGCTTCATACTATAATACTTCTAAGCTTAAGAGTGGCAGCTATAGGCCAGGAGGTGACAGGTCCCCTTTTCTTGCCAGCCTTACAGAGAAATCTTTGAGTTCTTCATAGAGGACTTTAAAACGTACAAGCCATTGCTATCCTCCATCAAGAATGCATATGAGGTGATGCTGGGTAAGACTGCAGCCTCTGCCTGGATCCAGTTTGGAAGGCGTGGAGAGGATCCTACTCTGACCTTCTGGGGCTGTGCAGAAGTACTGGGGCAGCTGCTAACTGGGCCTTGAGGTCACCAAGCCTTGCTCAGCTTTTTCTTACACTGTCGTGTGTGATAGAGAACCTGACTACCTACCTCTAGTCCTTGGCAAGCATGGTAAGGCAGTATCTGTAGGAAAGAGAGCAACTTCACTATTGAGAACAAAGCCTAAGAGGGAGTGAGTACCTCTGGGAAGTGATGAGCCTCCCCAACCAGGCTCAGGAGTGCTGGGCATGGTACAACTGCCGGACTAAAAGCTATAGGGAGAAAGGGCATAGATGAAACCCCAGTACTCATTCAGACTCTGTCTCTGGTTTGTTTGTTTGTTTGTTTGTTTAAAAGATTTTATTTATTTGAGAGATAGAGCAAGAGCACAAGTGAGGTGAGGAGCAGAGGAGAAGCAGACTCCCTGCTGAGCAGGGACCCTCCCCTCCCCCAACATGAGACTCAATCTTAGTACTCTCGGATCATGACCCAAGCTGAAAGCAGACAATCAATGGACGAAGCCACCTAGGCACTGCTGTCTCTGGTATAAAAGAAAATGCAGGAAGGCCTTAAGCAGGGGCCATGTTTTGAACAGGCATGCATAGACATAGGGACTCTCCTACCTATCCCTGCTTAGCTCACCAGAGGGAGAAGATTCGGGCTCTGGAGCCCCTGAAGGCCAAGCTTGTCACTGTGAATGAGGACTGCAACGAGAGGATCTTGGCCATGAGGGCTGAGGAGAGATATGAAATCACCATGCTGAAGAAAGAGAAGATGAATTTACTAAAACTCATTGACAAAAAGAATGAGGAGAAGATCTCTTTGCAGAGTGAGGTGAATGGGAGTAGTATGGTAACCAACTCCCTAAATTCCTGCTACTCCCACCCTAGGGGTGATCTGAGGTCTTGGGCACTGAGGTGACTCCCTAACTCTACCCTTCTACCTGGAATGATATCCTGAGCCACCACCTCCCCCCAGAGGCTACCTCCACACCCTGCCCCTTCCTTCTTGGCTTAGCACTGGCTCCATGTGGCCCCAAATGCCAGAAGTCCTGCTTCTTGGCTGCCAAATTTTCTCCACAGAAGGAAGCGTTGATACTTTGCTGGATTCTCAGGAATGGTCTGTCTCCTTCCTCCACTTTTCCTGTTCTCAGACCCTGATGGGGCCACTCAGCACCCATCCCATCCCCTTTGATGGCTAGTTATATACAGCCTCTGGCCACACAGCCACCTTCCCAACAGGTATCCAAACTGAGAAAGAATTTGGCTGAGGAGTACCTGCGCTACCTCACGGAGCGAGATGCCCGTAAGATCCTCATTGCAGACCTGAATGAGCTACGGTACCAGAGGGAGGACATGTCACTAGCCCAGTCCCCAGGTAAGCTTGAGGGGGGTTTCTCTATGTGGAGGAGGTGCTAAAGAGGAGTCTCACCACTCATCCCCATTCATTGAACGCTCCTAATGTCTGTTCATTCCATGCCTATTCACAAAGCAGGGTCTATGGATCTTTTGAGCTGGGCTGAGAATCATAGACTCATCGTTTAAGTAGGAAACAATTGTTGGCTGCTGAGGCAGCCTAGACTCCCTGGGAGCAGGACAGGCCTGGTACTCCATGTCCTGGGTTCTCTATTTAAGCCCGAACTTCTGAGCTGTTAGTGCTGTGGGAAAGACCTAGGGCTTCCCAATCAGGGAGAAAAGGACCTGGGACCAGGCCCTGACGGACACTCTAAAATTGCCCTGGGCTACAGATCCTAGAGGCAGAGTGTTGCAAGTTGGCGGGTACCCTGGCAGGCATCTGGGGGGAGGACCCCGTGAAGTTAACACTGGCTCTGAAGATGACCCGGCAAGACCTGACCCGCACACAGATGGAACTCAACACCATGAAGGCCAACTTTGGAGATGTGGTACCCAGGAGGGACTTTGAAATGCAGGAGAAGACCAACAAGGATCTGCAGGAGCAGGTACTGGTACTGGTGAGCAGGCAGGGCAGGCAGGTTCGGACATCACACAGGTGGGCAGCAAGGATTAGTCACCTTGTCCACAGCTGGACAGCCTGAGAGATGACTATGAAGAGGTCTGCAAGGAGCATGAGATACTGCTGCAGTTGCACATGACCACACTGAAGGAGCGGGATCAGTTTCATTCCGAGCTCCAGGAGATCCAGCGTACCTCTACGCCGCGGCCTGACTGGAGCAAGTGTGAAGGTAATGATGGTCATTGTACTCCCAGGGACTGCTCAAGGATGTGGTTTGGATTCCAGCACCCTCTCTCCACCTGCAGATGTGGTGGCTGGGGGCCCAGATCGCTGGCAAATGCTGGCTGAGGGCAAGAACAGCGACCAGCTGGTGGATGTGCTCCTGGAAGAGATTGGCGAGGGGCTGCTTCGGGAGAAAGATTTCTTTCCTGGTCTGGTAGGGGTCCCTGGGCTCTGGAGGCTTGGGACCAGAGTCAGAACAGCCAGGCCTTGTGCTAATAAGACTTGAGGTTTTGGAGGAACCCTCTGGGGCTCTGCCCGGCCCAGAGATGAGTGGACACTCTCCTTTCCAGGGTTATGGGGAAGCCATCCCCCCTTTCCTTCGATTTGATGGCATTGTGGAGAATAAGAAGCCAACCAAGAAGGATGTGGTAAACCTCCTCAAGGATGCCTGGAAGCAACGTCTTGTTGCGGAGCAGGTCAGACCTCATGGGCCATTTTGGGTTGGTGTGGCCTCCAGAGTCCTCCAGGGGGTTCTGTTGAGGTACTAGGGAGGAGGGCCAACCCATCATGGGGCAGGCTTCCCAAACAGTCATCTCCACTCTGCAGAAAGAGAAATTCCCAGATTTCTTCTTCAATTTCCTGGAGCATCGCTTTGGACCTGGTGAAGCCATGGCCTGGGCTTACACCATTTTTGAAAATATCAAGCTGTTCCGCTCTAATGAGGTCATGAGTCAGTTTTATGCAGTCTTGATGGGAAAGGTAAGGTTGGGTCTGGCTCTCCATCTTTTGTCCCCAGCATAAGCCAGCTCTATCCCTACTATTCCAGGAAGCAGCAAGTTATCCAATGCTTCCTTTCCTGTAGAGGAGTGAGAATGTATACATCAAGCAGAAGGAGACAGTGGCACAGTTGCTGAAGGAGATGACGAAGGCTGACAGTCAGAATGAAGGGCTTATAACCATGGAGCATTTAAGGTGAGGGGCTGGTCCAGCCATCCCAAACTCCTGTCCAACATTTCCTCTGGCCAGGCTCCCTGATACGCAGGGGTAAGGGGAGCTTGGTAGGAAGGGCTCACAGCCTCAACACTTGTCCTTTCTGAGCACTAGTGGGGCTGGCAGAGGGATACAAGAAGATGCATGAGCAGGCCACAGCTAGGCCTGCTGGCCCTTGTATCTCCCCACAGCACTGTCCTCAAGAGCACCTTCCCCTTCAAGAAGGAAGAGAAAATTCAGGAGTTGATGGAGGCAGGAGGCTGGCATCCCAACAGCAGCAATGCAGACTTGCTCAACTACTGCTCATTATTTACAGAGGTGGGGGGTGGGGCGGCAGGGGGTTGTCCAGGAACTTGCCCAGCCCTGCTCTAGCCTCTGCTGGACCCCAAACGTGTTTTTACCTTGCCTTGTGGCCCCTCCTAGGATGAAGAAGGCCAGAGTACGCCCTTTGTGCAAAAGCTGTGGGAACAGTATGTAGACGAAAAGGATGAGTACTTACAGGAGCTAAAGCAGGAGCTGGGCATGGAACTGTGAGTAACTCCTGAGGCCCTTTGGCCCATTTAGCCATAGGCAAATCTCGATGCCACAGGGTGGCATCTCAAGGCCTTGTGTCTCCTTGTGCACTGAGCTTGCTGCTGGGCACTATATACTGCTCAAGCTCAGCAGGTGGCACCTTGGGGTCTGGAGTGCAGAAAGGAGGGATCAAGGCCTATCTTTCTTTCTTTGTTGGGTAGCCATAATGAGGTAACCCTACCTCAGATACGTGAAGCCCTGATAAGCATTGATCCCAGCCTGGAAAAGCAGACCCTAAATAGCTACTTGATCCAGGCCTTCCAGCTCCCCATGACAGAACTGCCTGAGGAGGGTGAAGAGAAGGAAGAAAGCATTGTGGTACAGCTCAAGATTGCCCTGCAACGGCTTCAGATGATTGACATCAGGCGCATGGGGTCTCGAGAGCCAGAGCCTGCAAGCTAGGGACACTGTGGGCTGCCAGAGTGTTCCGGTGCTGCTAACCTCTACTTTTAGCATAAAATTATTTGACTGAACCTATTCTCCAGGTTATCCTGGGAATTGAGGGTAGGGAGAGGGTTGGTCCTGGCCTGGCTGGCCCCAGGATATACACCAAAACTCGGCACATTCTGTTTGTGACACTTTATTGATGCTGGGGAACTGGGGAAGAAAACTGGAAGAATGTGTGGGGCAGTCCCCTAGGCAAGGACTGGGCAGGTGTTGAAGCCTGGCCACTACTGGGCAGGGAAGACAGAGTTGCCACTGAATGCACAAGGGATGAGCAGCTGCCGGTACTCCAGGGGCAGGTGCCGCTCCACAAGCACATGCAGAGAGACTTGGTCGTTGACCAGGCCCTGCCTGCAGCAGAGGAAGATACAGAATCAGTAGCAGCCTCCCATACCCAGCACCATCCTGCTTCTGCCCACTTACCGTCGCATCAGCAGTTCTAGGTCCTCTGGCCTCACAGTCTTACGGCCAGCGTGAGCAGCAAATGCCTCCAGGTCGTCACAAAGATGCTGGAAATACCTGTCCAGGCTGCCAAAAGGGTTGGGGTAGGACAGACTAAACAGTATTGTCGATCTGAGGGGCTCCTCTCCCCACCCTGAATGTTCAGGACTCACCATTTCTCCACCGTCTCAACAGCCTTCTTATCCATGGGCATCTTAGCACAGAAGCTAAAGAATTTCACATAGTGGCTCAGTCCAGTCTTGTGGGGATCTTGACGGGGCCTGGAGCCAGGGGCTCGGGCTCTGGGAGGAAGCCTGGTCGACAGAGGCTCTGAAGATAAGCTGGGGGCAAGAGTGGATAGTTAGCTAAAATGCTGCCCGAAGAGGCCCCTAATCAAAAACAAGTCTTATTGGCTCCAGCCAGACTAGGGCCCATATGCTCCTTAGCTATCCTGGACCAAGAGCTCTAACTCTCTGCCGGGCCGTGGTGGGGACAGGGGGCCACAAAGAGGCCTGATCTTTCCCTGGGCCCTGATCCTCTAGTCTGGACCCAATATCGCAGTCTAGACTCATTACATAAACTGATACTTTCTCAGGCCCTTGACCCTCAGTCTTCCACATGGACATTTCCCCTCTGCCTGTTGCTACCTATTCAATTCTGCTAAAGTCTCTAGGAAGCCTTCTCTGACTACATACTGACTAAGGCACTTCCCCCTACCAGGTTCCTCTAAGAACCTGGAAGCAAGCACCAGGATGACACATGTACTCAGTGATCCCCACCCAGCCAGTCTAAGGGTGATCTCTTGAGTGATCATCTACATTCCAATGGGAAGGGGAATAACCCTTTGGTGCTCAATGCCAAGGTCTGAAGCCTGCCCCCTTCCTGAGAGGCCCATGCAGAACAAGGTCATGAGACTTACACTGCAGTGCTAGACGGTGGGGCTGGCTCAAGAAACTGAGGTCGCCTGGCCTGAGGAAACTGAGTGGTGTTGGAGGCCAACTCTGGACTTGCTGTAGAGAAAGAGCAGGATTACAGGGCCCTCAGCCTTGACTATCTCACCCAATCATCAAGGCCCACAGCTTCCTTGTCCTATTCCTCAAGGGCCACATCTAGCTCTAGCCAGCCAAGCAATGGGCCCCTCAGAATCTCCCCAACTCAACATAACTTATGCCCAGAAACATAACCCAGAGGTATAACTCCTCAGATTAGGGACTGAACACAGTTGTTACCCATTTACTCCCTCTTCCCTGCACTGGGCCCTTTACCTCTTCTATCAGAGATATCCTCATCTTCTGAAGATCCTTTTGGCTCATTAGTCTCAACAGCTTCTGTCATTTCTCTATATCCCTTAGAATTTTCTGTCCTGATAGATCCTTGTGTTCCTGTTGTGTCCATTACTTTGCTCACACTCAAATTTTCCTCCATCCTTTCCTCTGCCTCCTCATCAATTCCATCCTGTAAAAGGTCTACTCCATCTTCTCCAGAGATTGCACTGCTCTTGTTTGGGAAGCTCATAGCAAGGGCATCAATATTCTTTGCCTTTCTTGCCAGAAGTTGGGCTTGTTTTCCAGGGTCTGAATCAAGGGAGAGAACATAGGTTAGAAAAGCAGTAGGGGGATCCCTGGGTGGCGCAGCAGTTTAGCGCCTGCCTTTGACCCAGGGCGCGATCCTGGAGACCCAGGATCGAATCCCACGTCGGGCTCCCGGTGCATGGAGCCTGCTTCTCCCTCTGCCTGTGTCTCTACCCTCTCTCTCTCTCTCTCTCTGTGTGTGTGACTATCAAAAAAAAAAATAAAAAATTAAAAAAAAAAAAAAAAAGAAAAGCAGTAGGACAAGGCTGTAGCTCTGAGAAGGATAAAGAGAGGGTATAGTAAGACCCAGTCTAGCTCACTGAGGAGAAGTGTCCAGAAGCAGACCAAGGTACTTATTTGGAGTATCCTGGCCCAAAACTGACCCTGCTCTAACACGTAAGAGGAACCAACAACCAGGGAGCTCTGCGGGGCACACATACAGGACTGAGAAGGGAAAAGCACCAGTGTCAACTCTCATCCAAGGCTTAGCTCCAGGCCACATGCTCCACATACTCACTGTAGTTCTGCAACTTAGGTCCACTGCTCTGTGTCCTGTGACTGACAGCTCTCTCAGCATCTTCAGCCTCAGTATGAGAGAGACAGGGCAGGGAGTGGTATACACTGGGGGAACGGCCAACCAAGGGCTGAGAGAAGGGCTGAGTGTCCTCCAACACGGTATCCATTGGCACGGTAGCAACAGGGGTTCTCAGGCTGTCACCTGGAGATCAAACACCAGTTGACTCTCTGTTTCCCAGCCTTATCAACCTTCCACAGCTCTCTTTGCTTACCTTCCTGCTTCTTAGCCTAGCATTCCCACCCTCTACAGCTTGTCCCACCAAAACTGCTTACCTATGCCTCCACACTTCTCACTCTGCTCCCTCTGCTAGGAAGCCTCCTCTTACTCTAGTGAACTTGATTTGTCTTCTGGAATCAGGCTGCCTGGTCAGTTCTGACTGGCCAGCTGATCCTGAAACCTGATCCTCGTCAATCTGCCAAGAAGCTCCAGTCACTACACCACACCTTTCTTTCCCTCGGCCCTGAACTTTTTCAAGAATATGGGATCCTAGAAGATACTGGGATCAAGTCTGGGGCCCCATTAAGACAAGAGGCACCTTGGAGAAAGAAAGCAGAAACCCCTCATTGACCTACTGGCCAAGCTGGCTCACTGTCCTTGACAGAGAGAGGAGTAATCCTGGACTCAGCAGCACTTCCTACAGGGGTGGGAGAGGGAAATCTCAACCTTACCTGGAGAAACCAAGGAAGTATCTCGCAGATCCTGCAAAAATGCACCCACATCTACAGCTCGGTGGGTAGGAGGTCTGCGAGCCAAACCAGGCCTCTGCACTGACTGTGGCTGGAGAGGTGTGGCAAAGGTCAAATTGAGGGAGCTGGTGGGAAGGAGGAGGCACAAAGGAAAGTCAGGTATCTGAGGCCCAATTTTCAGGAGAACTCCCCATCTGCCCTGTGGCTCTCATCTCTTAGAACACAGCAATGATACCATGAAGCTAAAACTGGCAGGGACCAGTATGGCCAGATTCCAACCCAATTAATACCTCCCTGTCCAAGCCGTTCCACCAACCCCTAGAATAGGCAACAGCACCTGGTAAGGGAGGAGGCATTGGCATTCCCATGAGGCTCTGCAAGAGAATTTAAAAAGAAACCATGATGAGTTACGAGGCTCCTGAGAGCCCTCTCTCAGGCCTCCTCAGCTTCTCCAGAAAGCAAGAGAGGATAGCCAAAGGTGTTGTCCGGGGTCTTACCTTGGGAGAGAGGCAGCGCCTGGTCCACTCCTTGCTGAAACGCTGACAATCTCAGCCTCTGCTTCCTCCTACCAGGAGCCAGCAGACCTAGAGCCAGGGTTGTGGGTGGCTCAAGTTCAGGAAGTTGCAGCTCCAGGCTACAAGGATGGAACTTATCTCAGACAGGCCAGGAAGCCCAATCCTGGCTTCTGGGGCCCTCAAGAGACTCCCTGATTAGAGCTGCCCAACATCACAGCGCAAGGGAAGAATTCACTGTGCACCTGCCCTGACTGCTTTTCCGTCTAGAGGACTGGACCACCTGCGGCGTCGGTACTGGCTTCACCACAGACTCTGGCATCATGATGGAAGATTCTGGGGCTGCAGAACAGCAAAGAGAGGGTAGGTTGGTAGGACAGGCTGCCCTGAATGAAGGATGCCAAGGGACTGGTATCTAACCCTGATCAGCAAGCTAGTGTTCACTCACCAGTTAGAAGGATGTTCTTCAGCAGAGTCCGGGGTGTCTGTTCATCCAGGTGCCCACTGGTTTGAACACGGGCCAATCTGTCAATAGACTTTGGATGAAAGCACCAAGTAATCAGTCTGTGGCTTTGCCTTGAGATTTCCTCAAGGTGGGCTCCAGGGCAGAGCCAGATCTCAAAGCCCCCTGAAGGCAGCAAGAGCCCTGTAGTGGTCAGTGGCCTGGGGACTTACCCTGGCTCTTTGGGAACGCCGGCTCACATTCATCTTTGTGGGGCTGCTCAGCGGCATTTCAAGTCGGGCTTTCTGGACACTGTGTAAACACCAATAGCTCTGAGAATTAAGTAGGGAGAGGGAACTAGAGGATGCAGAGATGTGCCTTCATCAGGGATCCTAGCCTGAAGCCCTTTTCCCTCAAAGCCAGGGACCCAGAAACCACCTGCCCCTCCCTTTAGCCTTTGTTCCCAGCTCTATCAACAGCTTGTGGATAGAGGAGTCTGAGGGATATGGGAAAAAGAGGGATCATACTGATCCAGCCAGAGGGAGGGGCTAAGGAAGGCTTTACAGACCTGACTGTTAGAGGCAGAGGTTATCCACACAGACAAGAGGAGCAATTGGAAAAGTATTCATTCCTGACATGAAAATTAACAACCCAAGAAGGATATTTGAGTATTTTGAAACCTTTTAAGTACTTGTCAGTGTTTGACAGCAGCTTCTACATAGGTCATTCCAGCCCTAGTCTCTCCATTCCAGTCCCTCTCAGATTCCCAAGGCATGGCTCCATCTCATCACTTACAGATCTAAAACCTACTGTGAGTAGTTTCCCAGTGCCTGTAAAACTGCGCTGCCCCAGTCTAGCAGACGCCACACCCTCTGGGCGGTGAGCTCACCACAGCCCTCATCCACGGCCACTGCCACCAGGTCAGGCCAAAGTCCCTGCTCCCGAGCAAAGCATCTTTCTAGTTTCTGCCTCCCGAATCTGCCCAGGCTGTGCTCTCTAGCGCCCTTCCCAACTTCCAGCTGAGAGCTACAGGGAAAGGGGACTGACTGCATGTGGGGGGGGGGGGGCACCACAGAGGCGGCAGTTCAGGGTAGATGCCTGGATACACTTTGGGCCGGGGTTGGGGGAGGTGTGGCCCAGAGAACAGGCCAGGCCAGATTCTGAGCGCCCATCCTGCACCACCTGAAGCAGAAACGCAAAGATGTGAGCAGAGTTGACCTCTGTGGTCCCGAGACCTGGCAGTCTGGATTCCCAGGGATGGGGGCACAAGTAACTGACCCGAGCCCGGTAGAAGGTGGAGCCAGTTCTCAGAACCCTGGGCCCTGCGGCTCAGCGAGACTCAGTTTCCCTCTCCAAATAGGGTCAGTACTGGATCCCGCTGAGACCTGACCCCCTCGGCAGCGCTGTCACATACCCAACTCGAGCACTTCGGCGTCGCCGTGGGGTGCGCGTGTCCGCAGTATCCAGCACGCGCCGCAAAAGCGTGCGCGTCGTAGGCTCGCCGTCGCTGTTGTAGGTATCCGCCATCGCCTCACAAGTCCGCCTTCCAAGCGCTGAAGCTGCCTCGGCCGCCGCCTTCCCGCCGCCGCATTTAAGCCAACTCTCGCGAGGCTGCCGCACTGCCTCACGGGAGTTGCAGCTCTAACCCTATTGCCCAGAGGCGACGGGGAGCGTGTAGTGGTCCTTGCAAGCTCTGGATTTGGAGGCACTTTTTACCCGGGAGTGCACGTGTGCAACCATTCGAAGCCTTGGTTTCTTCATCTGTAAGTTGAAGGTGATACCCATCTAATACGGGGCTTGTACCGATTCAATGAGATAATTTTTTAAAGTTCATTTATTTAAATAGTCTCTACACCCAAGGTGGGGCTAGAACTCCCTACCCTGAGATCAAGAGTCCTCTGCTCTACAGACTGAGCCAACCAGGCACCCCTCAATGAGATAATGTTTAACATAGTAAGACAAGTCCTCAATAAATCATTATTATTAAAATGTCGCATTCCCATCTCTAGAGTCAAGGAAAGACACTTAAATAGGAAAAAATAATTTTATTCTATAGGGGACCTGGTCAGATTTGCATTTGTGAAGACCATTCTGCCTTAGAAGAGGCAGAAAGTTTGTAGACCCAAAGGTTAGTGCGCTGTTTGTGATCCAGCAGAAATGTTACAATTTCCAAACGTGTAATTTTTTTTAAAGATTTTTTTTTAGAAAGATTTTATTTATTTATTTATTCATGAGAGACAGAGACAGAGAGAGAAAAGCAGGCTCCACGCGGGGAGCCCAATGTGGGACTCGATTGGGTCTCCAGGATCACGCCCTGGGCTGAAGGCGGCGCTGAACCGCTGAGCACCGGGGCTGCACAAATGTGTGATTTTGAGATGAATTTTGACTCTCAAAAGTTCTCAAAATGCTAAAAACTCTATTACCATGTTTTCACCAGACAGGCTCCCCACCTTTCTTAAATATTCACGGAAACTTAATTAGAACTAGAGTTTTGAGTCTTCCATGGGGTTGTCCTTTTGCTCATAGATCAGGTGTCTATGTGTTTTACATAATTGATTAAACTAGGGATCTCTGGGTGGCTCAGCGGTTTAGCGCCTGCCTTTGGCCCAGGGCGCGATCCTCAAGTCTCAGGATCGAGTCCCACATCGGGCTCCTGGCATGGAGCCTGCTTCTCCCTCTGCCTGTCTCTGCCTCTCTCTCGCTGTCTATCATGAATAAATAAATAAATCTTAAAAAAAATGATTAAACTTTACATTTGCTACTTGTTAAAAAAGAAATACTGGGTGCATGTAGAAGGGAGGGAGGAATGAGAGAGACTGGCAAGGACCAGACCATGGAAAGGAGTTTGGACAGTATTCTAAATGCAGTAAGCTTTTGGAGGGATTTAAGCAGAGGAATTACATAAATATATATATATATGTAGCCATACAAACAACAGATTTTATAGAGGAGGCAAGATTGGAAGCAAGGAGACATATGACAAGGTTCTAGTCTTTCTTCAGAAGTGACAAGATAGAAGGTGGGCAGAGCCTGGGGGTGGGGGGTGGGGAGAAAGCTATGCATTCTAGATGTTTCAAGTATAAGAGATTTAAGTGTAGATTAGAGGTGATTTTATGAAATGGGAGGTAGAATTTTTTTTAAAGATTTTATTTATTTATTCATGAGAGAGAGAGAGAGGCAGAGACATAGGCAGAGGGAGAAGCAGGCCCCATGCAGGGAGCCCAATGTGGGACTCGATCCTGGGTCTCCAGGATGATGCCCTGAGCCAAAGGCAGATACTCAACCACTGAGCCACCCAGGTGTCCCATAGAATTTTATTAAGCATAATCTTCACTGTCTGTGCATGAACAAATGATATGAATTTGACCTCTCAATATTAAGGTAAGGTAGTAAGGTAGTAAGTAAGGTAGGTCTTAAGACAGGTAGGAACAGTACTCTATTAGTAATAATATGACAATGAAAATACATAACAGGCAGCCTGGGTGGCTCAGCAGTTTAGCGCCACCTTCAGCCCAGGGCGTGATCCTGGAGACCCAATCGAGTCCCACATTGGGCTCCCTGCATGGAGCCTGTTTCTCCCTCTGCCTGTGTCTCTGCCTCTCTGTGTCTCTCATGAAAAAATAAATAAAATCTTAAAAAAAAAATAACAGATAACATGCTCTTTTGCTTAATTTTGTCTCTACTACACACATTTCTAAACGTTTAATCATATAACAAAGTGTGTATTCATGTTTTTACTGTTATATATTCACCCAAATGAATGCACATCTTTCACCATGGGCTGCATTTCTGTGTTTGAAGGGGTTCAAGCAAGCTGCAGACCTCAGTGGCGTAGGCCAGGAGGAACGGGACTTTTTCCTGTTATGAGTCTGTGAAACCCATACCATGGAGCACATTAATTGTAAATACAAAATGCAATGGTAGGGATCCCCGGGTGGCTCAGTGGTTTAGCGCCTGCCTGTGGCCCAGGGCGTGATCCTGGAGACCCAGGATCGAGTCCCTCGTTGGGTTCCCTGCATGGAGCCTACTTCTCCTTCTGCCTGTGTCTCTGCCTCTCTCTCTCTCTCTCTGTCTCTCATGAATAAATAAATAAAATCTTTAAAAAAAATGCAATAGTAATGTTTGGATGTTGGGACCAGACAAACTGTTCATTTCCTATTGTCCTGTATTTCTCCAAAAATTTTAAGTATCGGTTCCTTTTATAATAAAGCTTTTTTTCTTTTTTAAATAAATTAACTTGGGGTATTATTATTTTTTCTTTCACAAGCTTTTAATAGATGGGTCTTTCTTTTTTTAATATTAAACAATTAGAAATACTGTATTCTAGGCTTAATATCATACCCATGGCCTGTAATCAGGAGAAAAAAAAAATGAGGAGGGGTCTGGAGAAAGGCAACAAGTGGGAGAAAGGGGGAACTCAGTAAAGAAGGGCTAGCTTGCAGGTAATTCCCCAGAACTGCCTGGCCTTCCCCGAGTTTTTTCACAGCTTTTCTTGACCTTTAGAACATTTTCTCCACGGAAGTGGGGAATGGGAGGTATCTTGTTACAATATAAATTTTGTCCATTCTCGGGTTCAACAATTCAACAGCTCCCAGTCTCGTCTCCCAGAATTAAAACCCCAATCTTTTTTTTTTAATTTTTTTAAAATTTATTTATTTATGATAGTCACAGAGAGAGAGAGAGAGGCAGAGACATAGGCAGAGGGAGAAGCAGGCTCCATGCACCGGGAGCCCGATATGGGATTCGATCCCGGGTCTCCAGGATCGCGCCCTGAGCCAAAGGCAGGCGCCAAACCGCTGGCCACCCAGGGATCCCTAAAACCCCAATCTTTTAATTTAGCCCAGGTTGTTATCTTTCATTGCTTCAGCTACCCCACCTGCCCTTTTCCAGGCTTTTTAAGGAAAGAGCCTAGTTCTTTCCTGAGGACCACATACTCCCCACTCAAGTTTTTCACCATTTTTTCTTCCTTGGCCTCTGTCTCCAATTTTTTCCTTTGTCCTGTTCATTAGTTCATAGCACTTATGTCTGTGATTAGACATCCATTCGGGTATATTCACATCTATTATCCAAAAGTCGGACCCTCGTCCCTCTAGGTAGTCAGGCCTGGTCAGCTGAACTTCTGCAAGGTTCCCAGCTCACTGCACTGTACCCTCCACACAGTAGGTACCTACTGATGACTGATGACAGTCAACGCAAGTAGCGGCTGAATTAGGGGGGTCCTCAACGCAGAAAAAGGGGCTCCTGAGGTCTTTCTGGGCACTGAAGCCCTGGTCTCCCATCCAGTCGCCGCAGGAATGCCATCCACGCACAGCCCGCAGGACTGGGGAAACGCTTCCGGGGGACACGCAACCTCACCCAAATCCTAGCCTCCTGTAATCCTACCTCTCCCTTAGGCGGCGCTCCAGGCCGCAGCCGCTGAGTTCAGCGCAAGGCATTGCGGGATTTGTAGTTTCCGTGGGCAAAGGCCCAAGGCGCTTGCGCACTGTAGAGGCGCGCGCCGCCCGCCGCTCGCCCCCCCATCAGGATTCCGGGTCCTTGTGAAGGGCGGTCCAGGCAACAGCGTTCCAACCGAATACGCTTCTATAGTCGGCCGGGGATAAGCCGGGTGGGGGTAAGAATCTGTTCTGCGTGGGCCTTCACGGTGCCCTGGAAAGCGCCCGGAATAATCACACCCCCGCTCCGGAAGTGAGCAGCTTCTGGCGCGGTGCATTGTGGGGGGCGTAGTCCTCCTTTCCAGGCGGTCCTTCGCGGCGTCCCCGGGGCCGACTCCGGAGCGCAGGCGGGCGGCCGGCGCAGCGCGGGCCGGCGGGAAGCGTATTCTGGGCACGGGGCGCCTGGCCAGGCCGGCCGCGCCGGGCGGCAGTGGTGGGAAGCCGCCTAAGGCCCCGCGCGGCGCCGCCCGTCGAGGGGCGGGCGGCGGCTGATCGACCGGGCCGTCGAAGGGCTCAGGAGGCCGGTGGGCCGGGCCGGGCCAAGCCGCGCGGCGCAGCCATGCCAGGCTTTACGTGCTGCGTGCCGGGCTGCTACAACAACTCGCACCGGGACAAGGCGCTGCACTTCTACACGTTTCCCAAGGACGCTGAACTGCGGCGCCTGTGGCTCAAGAACGTGTCCCGTGCTGGCGTCAGTGGGTGCTTCTCCACCTTCCAGCCCACCACGGGCCACCGTCTCTGCAGCGTCCACTTCCAGGGCGGCCGCAAGACCTACACGGTGCGCGTCCCCACCATCTTCCCGCTGCGCGGCGTCAACGAGCGCAAAGTAGCACGAAGACCCGCGGGGGCTGCAGCCGCCCGCCGCAGGCAGCAGCAGCAGCAACAACAACAGCAGCAGCAGCAGCAACAACAGCAGCAGCAGCAGCAGCAGCCGTCGCCATCAGCCTCCACTGCCCAGGCCTCCCAGCTGCAGCCGAACCTGGTGTCTGCTTCTGCTGCTGTGCTCCTCACCCTTCAGGCCGCTGTTGACAGCAGTCAGGCTCCGGGGTCCGTGCCCCCAGTGCCCACCACTCCCTCCGGCGAAGACGTGAAACCTATCGACCTGACCGTGCAAGTGGAGTTCGCCGCTGCAGAGGGTGCAGCCGCTGCAGCCG